ACCCACAGCTGACACTTTAAGGCACTTGCATTTGCGTTTGCATTGCGCCAGTCCAATAACAATAATGGCAACAGAACGAGCCACTGGGGCGGCCAGCTCATCCTGCGACCTCGGTTTGCATTAGTTTGTATTATCCTCGAGCGAAAGCGGGGGTGGTGCTCGTGCTGCTGGCGTAATATTGTTATTGCTGGCATTATGGCGCTCAATGTGCCACAAAAGTTGCCTGCCACAAAGTTGGTGCTGAACTTTCAGCCGTGCCGTGCTTGACATATAAATTTTAATTTCTCGGGTCGAGTGGAAAGTGGCAGCGGAACTTTGCGGCCAGCCGCACAATAACAAAACGCAAACGCAAAGGCAAAGGCAAACACACAATCTGAAGCCGAAACTAAAGTTGCAATGGCCACACTCGAGCGGAGAGCAGCTGCTGGCATGATGGCCCTGGAGTGGTGGCCACTGCCCCCCGCAAAGCGGTTCAAGGCCGTGGTCCGAGCACCCATCTACCAGCTACCAGCCACCAGCTATCCCCAGTGCCAGCATCAATTTATGAAGCCCCTCGACCAGGCCGGCACACGGACAAGCCCACGGATAGACAGCCCGCCAGCGTAACGTTATTTATTGAGTCTGACGCTTGTCAGCGGCATGCGATGTGGCTGCCACCAGCAGCTGGCAATTTATGTGGGCCAGACCGGCTTCTTTACGGTTTCAGATTCAGTTTCGGTTTCGGTTTCGGCCAACTTTCCGCTTAGGCCATTTGCCGAACCCTTTGACAACTTTTGGGCCGGAGCGGAAATGAAAGGCAATGGCAAACATTTGCTGAAACTATAGGGCCGTCAAAAGTGGCAGTGCCCTAATAGGATTACGAAGTTAACAGCTGGCCTTTCAAGCCGCTAATTCCACAGAGAAAATATCTATTAAGTTAATCAATCATTAGATGTTTTTTAAGAAAAGCTTATCATTAAATTAAAAATCGAAATAACGAAATAACATATTTTTCACAAGATAGATTCCAATTGACAAAGCTATTTTATCTCTGGATATTTTTTGTTAATTAACTAACAACAAGTTTGTCAAGGCAGAGGCCAGAAAGCGGAATATTGTTATGACAATGTGAAACAACGAAAGAAAACTTAATGTTGGTATGCTAATGTAGAACCAATTTTTGTATTTTTTGTACATAAATTTAAAGGGGAAACTGTATATGACTGGGTTGGTTTTTTCTCTGTATTTTCTTATTGCATGGAAACGGAGCCGGAAAAGAAGCACGACACATTAAGCGCGCCCTACCTTTCCGGCCCCGTCAGCCGCTATCTTCATCTGAAGAAGGCACTCCACCTGCTGCTCCTGCTCGTCCTGCACATCCTCCAGATGTTTCCTTGCCGCACAGTGCCCGCAGCCAAGTCGAAAGACAACTGCGGCTTTTATTGTTTCCGCTGTTGACATTATCACGGCAGCGACACCTGCCGGGCGGGGCTGGCGAGCGTTTTATTGTTTGCCGCTTGATGCAATGTGACAGCACGCCCTTATTCCAGCACCTTCGTAGCCTTGCGTGCGAGGATGGCAGGCGTTTGCACACCGCTAACAGTCAATATTGCGCATACGCCGCATAGCTCCATTAAGATAATTAAAAGTTGCCGAGTCACGCTGCAGTGGGCCAAAGGATCAGTCGATTAGAACACGCCAAATGCGGCAGCAAGTCAGAAAGAAGGATGGAGGTCAGCAAAGACGCTCCATTAACTAACTGCCGCTGAATAATTAGACAGCTTCCACTTGCGTTTCCGCTTCCGGTGCCGTCTGCTCGCATAAATTAAACCCGATATGGCCCAGGCCAACAAAAGAGAAAGAAAGCGGAGTCCTCAAGTGAGAGGTCCTTAAAAAATCAGACGACCAGCTGCTGCTGCGGTTTGTTTACCCAAGGACAAGGCAAGTCGACAGAACGGCTTTTGTCATCGCCAGTTGGCGGCAAATTGTGATTTAGTGCGCCTCGTTTCTTTTCAGCGCGCCGCGGTCCGAATCAAAAGTGCATAAATATTGCCAGCTCGAGTGGCTGCATTGATATCATTTACATTTCCGTCGGAAGCGTTTACATGCCTGTCACTGATCTTATTTATTATGCATTCGCCTGCAATTGAACCCGTTTTTGCGCACACACTTTTTTCCCCGCACTCAATTAAGTGTGCCACGCTGCATCGCCACGCTGCAAAAACGCTTACTGGAAGCCATCTAAATTACTTTGGAACGATGATTGGATGCCGATTAAAAAGATGGCAAATTGAGCACTACAATTTAATTACCCAAATTGACGGCAGCAATTTCGGGCAAACCGGAGTAAATTGACCGACCGTTACAACGAATGGGAAATTCTTTGTCCTGGGTTCGAATCAGTGATATCGGGCAAAGGGGGCTTAAAGTTAGCATCGGGAAGCTTTAATCCACTTGACTTTTGAAACAGGGAGGGAAATAAGGTTGCAGTCTCTCGTTGAACCTCCCTAATATCTCTCCTTTTCAAATATATGCATAATTCTGCAAAGTGCTGACATCTCGATTGCTGCTGCCTGATATGCCAGTTCAAAAATGTTGCAGCCATCAACTCAGCAATGCAAACGGTTGCATTTTACGTGAATTGTTTATTTGGAACGAAACGATGCATTGCTGCCACACTGATCCCATTTTGCCATTTTGGGGGCGACCGTCAAAGGGACAACAACTCCAAAAAAGAGACCCGAAAAGAGGAGCCATAACCATTTTTTATGCAACGCTTTTTGCGGTTGCCGTTAACGCTGATTTATGAGTGTTAAGTTAATTTGGGCTGCCAGCCCCCCACCAGCGATGCCCCCCGAATCTCTGATTGGGCCGCATCCCCAGCTGCAGTGCCAGGTCGCACTACTTCATCATTCTAGGCTCCGGTTCATGCAACTCATGCATGTTTGAACGGCGCCACCGCCCACACAAAACTCACCCACTTACCCACTCAACCACCCACTTCCACCCAAACCCACCCAATCGGAACCACCCGCACGGCGGCAGGATGCAAATAGAGGCGCCGTTGAAATGCACTTTGAGTTATAGTCAAAATATAAAACGCACAGTTGCATTTACGAGGCCATAGACTGCGTACGGGCAAATGGAGAGCGATGGCATTTTACACCTTCACCTGCGGGGGCAGTAAAAGGTTAAATGCTGAATTATCCCACATTCTTGCCGAGGTCATGCGGCTGGCAAGCTGACTACTATGTACTGCACATATTGCCAATATCTCACTATGTCAATGAAGTAAAGGCAGGTTTTAAAATTATTTTTTAAATAACTTACCTTGAAATGTTATCTAAGCATAACATTTTTTCGAGGAAAGGTTCCCTACTTTTTAAGGCTACAAAAAAAGCTTCCAAAACACAATTACCACTTTCAGTCAATTATGTATTGAAGGTTCTGTGCTGAAATATGCCGTTATTAAAAGACTAAGCATCGGTACATCTTTTTTTGCGAAAACTGCTGCAGAGATGAAGATTTTCCAAAGATGTAAGCTTGAAAAAAAACTATGTTATAAGTATCTTATTTTTCACATACCTTTCAACAACATCCATAAGAAATAACTAATATTATTTTGTTTCAGTTATAAACAATTTAATAAGCCTCATCATTGTTAACTCATCGATAATGGTCAAAAATTCAAAAAAGGTGTAGAAATATAATTATTTTTAGGGCACAATATTTTTATATTTGATTTGAAGTCAACCGAAATTATTGTTTTGTTTTTTTATACAGTGACGAACTGAAATATTGGTACAGCATTTATAGTTTTTAAGTGCAGTAGAAACATAGAATTGTAGCAAAAGGCTATAAATTCCTTGCCATAAAACGAAAGTATAGAAAAACATTTGGGTACAAATAATAAACTTTTCCGCTTAGAGGGCGTTAACTAATAATATCCCCTAGAGAGCGGCAGTAGAAAAATGAAAAACCCTCTAGATGGCCATATCAGCGCATGCGAATTGGGGGTTGCTCAAAAAGGGATGGCTATAGAGTAAGCTTATCAAGAGAAAGGGAGCACACTATTGTACAAGATGAAAGAGTCAACAGAAATCGTCTTGAGAAGGGATGTTTTTGAACATAATTTCCCTGTTGGCGCAAGTAAGACAAAATCTTTAGACTATCAATTTCGATTCAGATAGTTATCTTAACATATATGTACATATGTTATCAACTAATTATAATGTGATTACACTGGCGTGTCAGCTGAAACTTTCGGGGTGCTTGAACAAGTTAAGATTGGATTGTGCTCAGTTTGGGACAGCGCTCCGACATGAACAGACCAAAGGCGTGAAAATGCGGCTCAGCTGTGCTTGGCTGGCGGTCGGCCTGTTTTTGCACATGTTCCCGTACCGCCTGCACTCCGCTTTCCAGATGGTGCGACCCTTATTGCAGGGGCTAATGGAGCGGAGACACAAGGTCACGACGATCACACTTTTGAGATTACAGGCAGCCATTCCAGGAGTACACCACATTTGCGTGACAATGCTGAACAAGCATATGCAGGGTAAGTTAATGGAAACGCGGGGATAACCTCTACTACAGGTAACATCAATTTTAAATACATTTCTATTCGATGGCGATCAGTTTTTGGATTTATTGGGACACAAATGGCAGGAGGGAGGAAAAAGACAAACAACAGAAATGCAACAACAATATTTGCTGAAGAGTGTAAGAATAAAAGATTATTATAATTTTTTTATTATTTCCCAAGGGTGAGAAACTTTCAAGATAAAACCTGACGAATTAAAGTACTTATTAAATAACAACAAGGTTAACAAGGTTATTAAATTATTTGAAATATTTCTGTATGTGTGTGTATGTCTTAAAAGAATGCTTAACATTTTGACTGATTGCTGGATCGATATTCCAATTGAGCTCAACAGTAGAATGGTAATAGAAAATCGTGTCAAAATTTTAATAAAGTGAAATCACAAAAAAATCATATACATTTGTAAATAGTTTTTTGAATAATTTATAATTTTCATAGCTAATTTTAAGACAAAAAGCCCATAACTAAAAATTACAAACAAAAGCTGTTATTGGGCGATAAGGTTTGATAACAATATTTTATCAATTTTGCAAAACAATGAGCGCTCTCTTTTAATTTGGAAAACTATGAGAACATTCAAATTATCAACCTACCTTGAAAAAGCGAACTCAGCTTTTATAGGTTCGACGACAGTTTAGATTAGATTGTGGTCAGTTGTGGATGGAGTTCCGACATGGGCGGAATAAAAGCGTGAAAATGCGCCTCATATCTGCATGGTCGGCACTGGTCGTGTGCCTTTTTTTGCAACCGAATCTGTACCATGACCTGGCCCGGGCGGCCAACATACTGGGCATATTTCCATATCACTGCGAGGCCCCCTTTCTGGTCGTGCGGCCGTTGGTTCAGGCATTATTAAGACGAGGACACAATGTGACGCTAATCACACCAGAAGGCCTGCTGCCCGACATCGAGGGAGTCCGGCATATACGGGTTTCCAAGGTAAACCAGCACATGCAGGGTAAGTCAATAAGGAGAGAGGCATTAATTTGTTAACTTAAAAGTGCTTAAAAAGAATTTTTTATTACAGAAATGCTAGACTCTGACCTAATTCCGGACTTCTTGATTAGCAAATGGAAGGAGAGCATTGTAGCTTCCACAATATACTCACATTTGTCCAATGATATCCTGAGTGACGATGCCGTACAAAGAATGCTCCATGACAAGTGCGAGCGGTTCGATCTCATTATGATGGAGGCTAGCAACCTGGATGCACTTTACGGCCTTGTGGAGTACTACAACGCCACTCTGATGGGCCTGATTAGTATGGGTGTGAGCTGGTTCACCGAAGAACTAGCAGGCAACCCGGCCCCCAGCATTTACGAGCCTATTTCTCACATCGGCTATTCCAGGGAAAACTCTTTGACGAGCAGGCTTAGTAACTGGATCCATATCACGGAGGAGAAGTTGCTGGTGAAATTGATAATGCTGCCATCTCAGTTGCGCCTCTTCAAAAAGTACTTTGGCTACTCGGATCAGAAATTCTATGAGCTGCGGCACAGGTTCTCTGTGATCTTAGTCAACAACCACTTCAGCATGGGCAGGGTGCGATCCAATGTACCCAATCTTGTCGAGGTGGGAGGTCTGCATCTCATTGAGCCACCCGAACCGTGTGACATTGAGCTGCAAAGATTTATGGACGAGGCGGAGCACGGAGTGATTTATTTCTCAATGGGCCTGGACATCATGGTGAAGTTTCTTCCGGAGGACATTCAGCAAACACTTATAACGTCCTTCACTAAGCTGAAACAGCGGATTGTTTGGAAGAACGAGATCTTTAAGATGCCCAATATATCGGATCACATATATGTGATGGAAAGGGCACCTCAACGTCACGTTCTGGAACATCCCAAAGTCCGTCTTTTTATCACAAACGGAGGATTGCTGAGTGTGATGGAGGCGGTTCACAGTGGAGTTCCGATGCTGGGACTGCCGGTGTTCTTTGACCGGTTTGGAAATTTGGAATGGGCGCAATTAGCAGGCATGGGCAAAGTCTTGGACATCAACTCCCTGAATGCAGATACCCTGACTTCCACCATTCGGCTTCTGATTGAGAACCCCAATTATGCTCTGAGGGCCCGAAATATGTCAAACACTTTTTGGGATCGACCCATGAGTCCTTTGGATACGGCTGTTTGGTGGACAGAGTACGTCCTTCGAAACAGGGATGTATCCCACTTGCGAATCAAGGCTGAGGAGATTCCACTATTGCAGTACTATAATATAGACAGCATTCTCACTTTTGGTTTTCGACTGGTAGTGATCGCTGGATCGGCGATCTTTTTGTGCCGCAGTTTGCTACAAAGCTATAGTGTCAGACGTTTAAAAGAATCGTTTCTATATATAACTTCTTTAATTAAGTAAATATCTAGGTGGATACCAAATGTATGCAGGTTAAAGATAAAATGGTTGCCAGCGAGCGGTAGTCGCATTTCTGTAATAAAAAATTCTTTTTAAGCACTTTTAAGTTAACAAATTAATGCCTCTCTCCTTATTGACTTACCCTGCATGTGCTGGTTTACCTTGGAAACCCGTAAATGCCGGACTCCCTCGATGTCGGGCAGCAGGCCTTCTGGTGTGATTAGCGTCACATTGTGTCCTCGTTTTAATAATGCCTGAACCAACGGCCGCACGACCAGAAAGGGGGCCTCGCAGTGATATGGAAATATGCCCAGTATGTTGGCCGCCCGGGCCAGGTCATGGTACAGATTCGGTTGCAAAAAAAGGCACACGACCAGTGCCGACCATGCAGATATGAGGCGCATTTTCACGCTTTTATTCCGCCCATGTCGGAACTCCATCCACAACTGACCACAATCTAATCTAAACTGTCGTCGAACCTATAAAAGCTGAGTTCGCTTTTTCAAGGTAGGTTGATAATTTGAATGTTCTCATAGTTTTCCAAATTAAAAGAGAGCGCTCATTGTTTTGCAAAATTGATAAAATATTGTTATCAAACCTTATCGCCCAATAACAGCTTTTGTTTGTAATTTTTAGTTATGGGCTTTTTGTCTTAAAATTAGCTATGAAAATTATAAATTATTCAAAAAACTATTTACAAATGTATATGATTTTTTTGTGATTTCACTTTATTAAAATTTTGACACGATTTTCTATTACCATTCTACTGTTGAGCTCAATTGGAATATCGATCCAGCAATCAGTCAAAATGTTAAGCATTCTTTTAAGACATACACACACATACAGAAATATTTCAAATAATTTAATAACCTTGTTAACCTTGTTGTTATTTAATAAGTACTTTAATTCGTCAGGTTTTATCTTGAAAGTTTCTCACCCTTGGGAAATAATAAAAAAATTATAATAATCTTTTATTCTTACACTCTTCAGCAAATATTGTTGTTGCAATTCTGTTGTTTGTCTTTTTCCTCCCTCCTGCCATTTGTGTCCCAATAAATCCAAAAACTGATCGCCATCGAATAGAAATGTATTTAAAATTGATGTTACCTGTAGTAGAGGTTATCCCCGCGTTTCCATTAACTTACCCTGCATATGCTTGTTCAGCATTGTCACGCAAATGTGGTGTACTCCTGGAATGGCTGCCTGTAATCTCAAAAGTGTGATCGTCGTGACCTTGTGTCTCCGCTCCATTAGCCCCTGCAATAAGGGTCGCACCATCTGGAAAGCGGAGTGCAGGCGGTACGGGAACATGTGCAAAAACAGGCCGACCGCCAGCCAAGCACAGCTGAGCCGCATTTTCACGCCTTTGGTCTGTTCATGTCGGAGCGCTGTCCCAAACTGAGCACAATCCAATCTTAACTTGTTCAAGCACCCCGAAAGTTTCAGCTGACACGCCAGTGTAATCACATTATAATTAGTTGATAACATATGTATATGTTAAGATAACTATCTGAATCGAAATTGATAGTCTAAAGATTTTGTCTTACTTGCGCCAACAGGGAAATTATGTTCAAAAACATCCCTTCTCAAGACGATTTCTGTTGACTCTTTCATCTTGTACAATAGTGTGCTCCCTTTCTCTTGATAAGCTTACTCTATAGCCATCCCTTTTTGAGTAACCCCCAATTCGCATGCGCTGATATGGCCATCTAGAGGGTTTTTCATTTTTCTACTGCCGCTCTCTAGGGGATATTATTAGTTAACGCCCTCTAAGCGGAAAAGTTTATTATTTGTACGCAAATATTTTTCGATACTTTCGTTTTATGGCAAGGAATTTTATAGCGCTGGGCGTATGCGCAATATTGACTGTTAGCGGTGTGCAAACGCCTGCCATCCTCGCACGCAGACTACGAAGGTGCTGGAATAAGGGCGTGCTGTCACATTGCATCAAGCGGCAAACAATAAAACGCTCGCCAACCCCGCCCGGCAGGTGTCGCTGCCGTGATAATGTTGTGGCGGCCCAAGTTAAAATACCATCTAGCGGAAAAGCTGTTAACTAAGAACTTAGCTACGATATTTATTGTTATCTCTTTGATCGATATGTTCTAAGAAACACATCTCTGGCTCTTTCTTCTTCCGGCTCTCGGCTAAGCTGCACGCACGCTTTGTAACTCCTCATTGTAAACCCAAACATACATCAATAAAATAATAGTAACACCAATCCGTGTTACCATAGTGGTGACCCCGATAGTAGATTTCAGCTAAGTATATGGCAAAAATCTTTTTAATTGAGCCAAACTGTCGCAAAATTAAAAATTTGCCCACACTGAGTTTTATGCACTTACACATGCAAACATTTTGCAACGGAGACACATACATATAGTCACAAAAAGTGACGCTACCAACACAACGAAGTTTATGCCCGGCGAACCTCGATATAACTTGCGATCCTTAGTACCCAGAAAGCTAATCTTCGAGAGCGACGAGAACATGCCCGACGAGCAACAACAACTGCAAACCAGGATTCGAGAGTTTCAAGCTCAGGTGGAGGCTTTACAAATGAATTCTACTGCAGGACAAGCGGCGAACACTGGACCAATGGCACGGGCAACAGTCCACTTGCCAAAGTTTACAAGCAGCAATCCTCAACTATGGTTCGCCCAGGTGGAACGTTCATTTCGTTTGCACGGCGTTAACAATGACGACGACAAATTTGATCACATCACCGTTAACTTGGATCCGGAGGTCGTTTTAGCCGTCGAGGATTTAGTCACGCATCCTCCAGTCGCAAACAAGTTTGACACGCTGAAAGCTCGCTTGCTCGACAAATTTGCAGAGTCAGCAGAATCAAAACTACGGCGTTTACTGCAAGGTGGAGGAACTTCTGGCCTGAAGCCCTCCCAGATTCTAGCTCACATGCGTCGGCTGGCACCGGAATCCAGCAGCGAACCAATAATCCGTACATTGTTTCTTTCTGAAATGCCTCAGAATATTCGTCCGATTTTAACCGTCTGGGAAGAGACCGACCTTGAGAAACTGGCCAAAGTGGCAGACAAAATGCTTGAAACCATCGGATCTTCCAACACGTTCGCCATCTCTGCAGATGACGTAGCCGGAACCGCTTCGGTGAATGCAGTTGCTCGTCCGGAATCTATCAAGGACATCGCAGACTCTCTACGTGCGCTGACAAAAAAGGTTGATACGATGCAAGCTGACCTTAAGCGAATTCAATCGAGTAATCGTTCCACCAGTCAAACTCGTGGATCATTTCACCGATCCGCTTCACAACAACGCTCTCAATCGGCAACAGTTTCTGATGGTCCATTACAACAACCTGGCGATCCACAAGCTGAACCTTGCTATTATCATCGTCGTTTTGGAAATGATGCTCGCAAGTGCAAATCTCCTTGCTCTCTTGCGCACCTTTTAAACTAATGCCGCTGTCACCTTCATCGCTGGAGGGTGGCAGTACAACCAACGCCAGCGAAAAGCTCGTCCAGTCAGCAATCTTATCTGAAGTCCGTCTTTACATTACCGACCGCAACTCCCACCAAAGATTCCTTATCGACTCGGGCTCCGTGGTTTCTGTTGTTCCCCGCCCACGGGCAAGGCATCACACAAAACAAACCGACCTTGTCTTATATGCAGCAAACGGAACAGTCATCCACACCTACGGAAGCATGCCAGTTGACCTGAACATTGGGCTACGGCGTAACCTTATCTGGCCTTTTATCGTTGCTGACACCGGAGTAGCTATAATTGGTGCAGACTTTCTGTCCCACTTTCATCTCCTCGTCGACGTAAAGGGCCAAAAACTCATCGATGCGAACACCAATCTATCGACACCAACGCTTTCCAACGCTGTACATCACTCTGTGTCTACCATTCAAGGTGCACACAGATTCCAAACTCTGTTGCAGGAATTTGTGGACGTTACTGTTCCAGCACCGAAGGGAAGCAATCATCAGGATATACAACACTACATTGACACTACAGGAAGCCCAGTCTCCGATCGTCCGCGCCGTCTATCTGGTGAGAAACTTTTAACCGCAAAGTCAGAAATTAACTTCTTGCTTAAAAAGGGCATTTGTCGTCCTTCTAAAAGCCAGTGGTCAAGCCCGCTACATATGGTGAGCAAAAAAGATGGAAGTTGGCGATCTTGTGGGGACTATCGCAAACTCAACGCGATAACGGTACCTGACCGTTATCCAATTGCTCATATCCACGATTTCTCGGAGCAACTACACGGGAAAAAGATCTTTTCTACTCTCGACCTAGTAAAAGCGTATTATCAGATTCCAATGGCTGAGTGTGACATCCCTAAAACCGCTGTTTGTACACCTTTTGGCCTTATTGAATTCCTCTATATGCCGTTCGGCCTTAAAAACGCTACACAAACTTTCCAAAGGTTTATAGATAACATTTTCCGTGGCATCGATTTCGTTTATTGTTACATTGACGATATTCTGATAATGTCCAGTTCCCTTGAGGAACACAAAAAACATCTGCGTACCGTTATGGAGATCCTTCGTAACCACGGACTTCGCATAAACATAAGCAAGTGTCAATTGGCCCAGATAGAGGTGAATTTTCTAAGCTATACCATTAACGAGCACTGAATCAAACCTCCTAGTAATCGGGTAGAGGCAATAAAAAACTATACGAGGCCTTCTACAATCAACGAACTAGGAAGATTCCTCGGCATAATAAATTATTATCGGAGATGCCTGCCTCGTTCGTCACACATCCAGGCTCCTCTTTCAGAAATTCTTAGGAACGTCAAGAAAAACGACCAACGCCCGATCGAATGGACACCAGAACGAGTTGCCGCTTACGATTCTTGTAAACAAAGCGTCATGGATGCGGTACTACTGGCTCATCCCTTTCCAAAAGCACAACTGGCTCTCGTATGTGATGCTTCTGATGTCGCAATCGGAGCTGCACTAGAACAGCTGGTCAATGGTCATTGGCAACCCCTTGGTTTTTTCTCAAAAAAATTAACCGACACTGAGAAAAATTACAGCACATACGATAGAGAGTTGCTCTCCATTTATGAAGCCATCAAGTATTTCAAGCACTGCCTTGAAGTTCGAATATTTTGCATTAAGACAGACCTCAAGCCTCTCGTGTATGCATTTAGGCAACGGCCTGAAAAAGCGTCACCCAGGCAACTTCGTCATCTTGGCTACATTTCGCAGTTCACGACCGAGATCATACATGTCAAGGGATCTGAAAACGTAGTCGCGGATGCATTTTCCAGACTATGTGCTATTACCATGCCAGTCTCTGTCAGCCTAAAGCAAATCGAGGAAGCGCAGGCAACCGATACTGAGCTCCCAAACTTACTGCAAGGAACTACTTCGCTTCAGCTGCAAAAAATACGCTACGATGACAACATCGCACTTTACTGCGACATATCAACAAATTACGTTCGTCCTTATGTACCCACTGCTCTTCGCAATAAAATATTCTCTTTCTCTCACAGTCTCTCACATCCGAGCGGCAGATCCACTCTGCAACAAATTAAGCAAAAATTTGTATGGCCGGAAATGAGGAAAAACGTCATTGAGTGGTGCAGGACTTGTCTTTCTTGTCAACGTGCCAAGATAAGCAGGCATAATCATCTGACTCCAGAAAAGATCACAGTTCCCAGCGACAGATTCAACCATGTTCATCTGGACATCGTCATCATGCCGTTCCATCAAAACTTTCGGTACTGCCTTACCATGATAGACAGATTTACTCGCTGGCCGGAGGCTGTCCCTCTTACAAACATATCGGCTGATACGGTGGCTAAAGCTTTTTGGTCACAATGGGTTGCTCGTTTTGGAACACCTAAAACAATAACAACTGACCAAGGCACTCAATTCGAATCAGCGCTGTTCAAGGAGCTGGCCCACCTCATGGGCAGCGAACACATCCACACGACTGCTTATCACCCCCAGTCCAACGGAATGGTCGAAAGATGGCACAGATCATTTAAGGCTGCGATGATGTGCCATTCAAGCACTCCTTGGCCGGAACTGCTACCCATCGTTCTGCTAGGACTTCGTACCTGTTTAAAAGAGGACCTTAAATCATCGGCTGCGGAGATGCTATATGGAACAACAATCCGCATGCCGAATGAATTTTTTGAAGATCTCGATGTAAACGTGGATCCTGCAACCTTCATTGGCAATTTTCGTGACCTGATGCGAAAGATTCGTCCGACTCCTTCTGCGCACCACAGCAAGCAAAAAATGTTCCGCTTAAAAGAAATAGACAAATGCTCTCATGTATTTATTCGGACCGATGCCGTCAAACTACCATTGGAACCGCCTTATTCAGGACCTTTTGAAGTCGTTTATCGCAACAGCGACCGAGTTTTCACATTAAATG